GCTAACCTCACTCAGAATGATGTTCTCCAATTCCATCCATTTACCAGCGAATGATAACATTTCGTTCTTCTTCATGGCTGCATAAAATTCCATCCAAGCAGTCTTCCTTTGCTTACACCATGACCTCCCACCTGGGGATCATTGCAAATGATGATGCCTCTGCATGGAATATATTTGCTCCCATATCCATGCCTTGCTAAACCCCTCCAAACCTCACCCTCAACATCAATTCATCAAAATTGAACCCTAGCTTAATTATACTGATTCAATCAAGGTGGTCTTCCTTGAGCTACCTGTCCTTATTCTTAAAGGATTCTTTGGTGTCTATCTTCCCCAACAGCCTATATGCTTTTCCATCTGGCTTATCTCACTGCACAGTACCCAGCAGTGCTAGGCAGAGGTGAACAAACCACTGAGTCTTTACTTGCATAATGCATGTGCACCTACAAACACGATGCCATACACAATATTTTACTGCACTAAACGTGCTTTATGCTTCGCTATTGCTCCTTCCCCTACCCCAGGCAACCACTGATCATTTTAATCAGTTCTGTAATTTCCTATGGAAACATGGAATCCCACAGTATAGAGTCTTTTCAGATTGGCTTCTTTTATTAATAAAGTGTATTAAAGATTCCTGTGTCTTTTCATGGCTAAACAGCTCATTTCTTTTTAGTGCTGAATAATATTCCATTATCTGGTTGTGCCAAAGCTGATTTTATCCATTCACCCACCTTGGTTGCTTCCAAGTTTGGGTAGTTATGAATAAAGCTGGTATGAACACCTAAGTGTAGCTTTCAACTCCTTAGGATAAGTTCCACAAACACACATTCTTACATATAATAAGAGTATGTTTCATTTTGCAAAACAAACAAACAAAAAAACAGCCAAATTGTCTTGAGCAAACTGTCTCGAGCCATTTTGCATTCTTATCAGCAAAGGGGGCTCCTACTATCCCACATCTTCTCCAGCACTGGTGCTGCCAGGGTCTTATATTTCAGCCATTCAAACAAGTGTGTATTGGGAGCTTATTTACTTTTCACAAGAAGGCCATCCAGAAGAATGGATGATTCTACAATCTCAATGGACCTTGACTTCACTTGTGTAGTTTTAAAAACATACACCAGGACTGGCTTGTGCCCACAGATGTGTGGGCCCCTAGCACCTGCATTATTTGTCACTTGTTTGTTTTATTGGCCATATTAGGTTTTGAACTCGGGATCTTGTGCTTGCAAGGAGTCATGCCTCCAGCCCTTTCTACTTTAGTTATTTTTCTAGTAGAATTTCACATTTTTACCTCTTGTTTACATCTACCATGTAGCTGGTGTAACAGACACACCCACCATGCCCCACTTGTTGGTTCAGATGGGGTCTGGCTAACTTTTTGCCTAGGCTGGCCTTGAACTTTGATCCTCTTGATGACCACTTTCTGAGTAGCTAGGATCACAACTACTCAGGAATTGCTGCAATTTGTAAAATAAAATTTCCACCAATGATTTTGAAGCTAGTGATTTAAATCACATATTCTGAAGACTCAACTGCCTGTCTTATTTGTGCTGTGTTTGGAATGGTAGCTTCCTGGTGAGCTATCACAGACTGTGTGCTGTGACAGAAAGGAAATATCGCCATTATCCCCAAAGCAGTAGGCACTAGCACAGTGTTTATGACAGTGAATGATTGAAAAGTAAGTACTCGAGGCACCTGTACTTACTATTAAAAATCTAAGTATAGATGATTCCTGGGACCCGTGGCACAACAGAAGTATGAACTGGAACTCATTCCTGTTTTACCCTTCAAAACTACCCCACATCTGTAGCTCAGTGTAAGTGCATGCCTAGTATGCAGAAGCCCCTGGCTTCCATCCCACCATGACAAAACACAAAACAGAAAAACCCATATCAACCAAGACTGCCAGGCCAGGAAGATTTTTTTGTTTTGTCTTATTTATTAAATATAGTTCTGTGGCTCAGATGTTGGACCATCTCTCCAAAGGTAGTGGTGCTGAAAGTTTCATGGTAGTATCAGGCCTAGAAGGTGGTCCTTTGTCAACGGAGGGTGCTGTTCTGGAGGGGACTAAGTAACTTCATAGTAGTTCTCTTGGAAGTGGTTACAAAGTCTGAGCCCAGCTGAGGCAAAAAAAAAAAAGGCAAGAGACTATCTCAGAAATACCCAACACACAAAAAAAGTGCTAGTGGAGTGGCTCAAGTGGGAAAGCACCTACTTAGCAAGTGTGAGACCCTGAGTTCAAACCCCAGTACTGCCAAAAATAAAATAAAATAAAAAATAAGTAAAACTTCAGTCAGGCTTAGAAACCTCCAGTTAAAACTGGCTTAACCCATTTCCCCCCATGGCTGCTGTATGAGGTTTTTGGTTTTTTGTTGTTCGATTTTTTTTTTAATTTAATTTTATTTTTTTGTGGTACTGGGGTTTGAACTCAGGGGCTACACCTTGACTCACTCTACCAGTCCTTTCCTTCCTTTCTTTTGTTCATTTATTTACATGTGCATACATTGTTTGGGTCATTTCTCCACCCTACCCCGCTCCCCCACCCCACTGGTCCTTTTTTTGTGATGGTTTTTTTCAAGATTGGGTTCGTGAACCATTTGCCTGGGCTGGCTTCAAACCTCGATCCTCCTGATTTCTGCCTCCTGAGTAGCTTGCATTACAAGCTTGATTCACCCGTACCTGACTGCTGAATGATTTTTAAAATGTCTCTAAAATGCTGTATCTATTCTAACTTCTTCAGTCTTGAATGGAGCCATTTTCCTGTAGGATGACTTGATGGAGCACAGTTGCTTCTAGGAGCGCTCACCAAGGACCACTCACAAGCCACATGCCACTGACAAAGACTGGATACATACTTGGGCTCTAACTTGGGGTACTAAGAAAGCACCTCCCCAAACTGACACTGCTTCCCCGTCTTGCTTCCACAGGGAGGGGTTGGTAGTAGGCAGAGTTAAAATCAGTAGCATGATCACCATACTGCTTGTGTTGCTCAAGTTACCAGAAAAAAAGAACTGAGCACTTTTCACAATGCCACCTGCCTTTTCGACCTCGCCAAGTTCCTTTCCAGTGTCACCTACAGGCATGGCAGCCACATGCTGCCACTCTGACACTCTACACACCCCAACTCCTCACCCGGTGGCAGGGCTGGGCCTGATTTCCACCATAGCCAGAAGCATCAGGAGTCTTTTTAGGACCTACAGGGAGTTCTCACCTCCATCAGCCTCCCTGAAGACAGGGCATTAAACATCCCAAACTCTTTATCAATTACACCTTTCTTCCACAAACCTCTGTGCCGCAAAAGAGAAAATGAAACTGAATAGAGTAACTCCATCTACAAAGCACTTACCTAAAATGTCTTTACTGATTAATTAAGGACATGGCAGGACATATTTAAAACTCACCTTTGTTTATTCAAGACGTCTTCAAAACGGTCATCATTAGCCTAAGTCAATGCCAAACGTCAGGTGTGCAGTCATTCCTCAGTGTCCCCTGCTGGTTCCAAGAACCCAGCAGACACCAAAATCCACAGGCGCACAAGCCTCTTAAATGAAGTGCCATGCTGTTTGCATATTCTCTTAAATGCTTTAAATCATTTCTACATGATTTGTAATCCCTCAAACAATGTCAATGCTATGTAAATAGTTGTTACACTGTATCTTTACATAACAATAACAGGGAAGTCTGCATATATTCAGGATAGACACTGTTTTTTTTCTTTCCTCTTGAATAAACATTCCAGTTCCAAGTATACTATAATGACTGCTTAAACTATCTACCACAAAATAGTCCCATATGCTACAGGACAAAGATTCACATGCTAGCGGCTTGGTCCTCAGTTTAGTGGTACAGAAAGTGGTGGAACCTTCCAGAGATGGGCTTGGACTTGGGCTGTGACTCAAGTGGTAGAATACCTGTCTAGCAAGCATAAGGCCCTGAGTTCAAACCCCAGTACAGGGGAGAAAAAAAAACAGATGAGGCATATTGGAAGTCATAGGGGTGCTACTCTCAAAACGTATTATGTTATGGAACCCTAATCTCTCTCTGGCTTGTTGTTATGTGGTATGATCTCTCACTACAGCCACTGCAGTTCCATCTGTCACAGGGCCCTCACTAGAGCAGAGCTGATGCCAGTGATGTGTCCTTGAATTTCCAGAACAGAGCTTAGTAAACCTTTTTTTATAAAGTTACTCAGCTTCAGGCATTTTGTTATAGTAGCAAAAGATAAGAACAGATACACAAAAGGAACAGAATGTTGACAGAGACCCCTGAGGATGTCTGTCCCACCTCTGTGAGCAATTTCCAGGCTTCCTAACATTTCAACATTCCACCATCCATCCAATTATTCAGTGCCCTATACCAATTACACTATCTGTTATTGAACAAGCACTTCACTAACACACTTCACCTATGCTTTCTCTTAAGACTCATATAGTGGAGCCATTCTAATAAATCAGGGAGCCTGAGGCCAAAAGGTGGTAGGGTCAGGTGGGCCACAGGGCCTTGAGTTGGCTTCATGCTTTCCATCATTTGAACAGGCAACTATTAAACATCCCTTGTGTGCAAGGCATATAGCAGACAGACCTTACCTGAGATAACAGTGCATATCTAGTCTCTTTCTTTCCAACGCTTTGTGCACCTTGTCCCAAAACATACCTTATTATTTCATTCTCCAGATTTAAAAACGGTTAGTGAATTTCATTCACTTATCCACTGGGGATACGAAATGAGTCCTGGTTTCCTTAGCCCCTATTCTTAGGGTAGGAGGGGTGAAGAGGAGAGGCCGACAAGTGTGCAAGAACGTGCATATGATTACAGAACTGACACAGAACCCCTACTGGCCTCAGAGAAGGAACATGCATGCCTGGGTCTCAAACATCAGATGACCCAAACGCAAGAGGACCAGGGAAACAGAGCCCTCCAGGTACTAGCTGGTGCAAAGGCCCCAAGCAAAAGCCAACCTGGTTCATTCAAGACAGAAAAAGAAGGCTGGGCCTCAGGTAAGAAGAGCAGAATGTCAGGAGGAGCAGCTGGGTCAGGGGCAGGTGGGGTAAGGAGCTGGGAGTTTATTCCAAGAGTGATGGGAAGCCAGTGGGGGGCTTAAGCATAGTCTGACTCACATTTTTAAGCATTACTCTGGCTGCTGTGAGGAAAATATACAACTGAGTAAAGCAGAGTGCCCCACCAGGGAGCTGTGGCTGTCTATGCTGTCAACAGGGAGACTGGGGCAAGTGGAGCAGGCTGGGAAGGCCTGGCCCTCCTGCCCTTCCTCCTTCAGTCACAGCATCTAACAGGCCACACTGACTTACCCCTTCCCACCTGCACATACAGTCATACCACGCCAGCATGTCTCCAATATGTGTCCCGTGTGCCTGGTACATAGCTGGTACTGCATCTGAATCCATGAAGGAATCCTATCACAATCCAGGGCAGCTTTTAGGGACACTTCTCAACCTTGGCCTTAAACTTCTGAAACCAATAGAACATGAACATGCCTTGTTTTGCTAACAGCTAATATGAAGCAAACAGCTGGGGTACTACTTCTCAGACTTCCATTGCTCTGAATCTTGTATAAGGCAGAATTGATTCGGGAAAGAGAAAGGTACTCATAGCTAGTGCTTTCCAACCTCCTGTGAGACATCACACACAGGCAGGCTATAGGCTAACAGTCTGTAACTATTTTCAGTTCCCAATTTCAAATCTCTACCCTAAATCCGATCTTTTGCTAAAAAAGCAACAAAAGAGTTACAGTAAATCCCTGCCTTTATGGAGCTGTTTACAGATCCAGAGGCCTCCCATGTCCTCAGGGAATTCAGAGACACCAGACCTTTACACCACTATTATCTGCCAACCTGTATCTCTGTGGCCCTTCTCTAAGAAGTCTGCAAATTTGTTGTTGGTCTTCAATACTCTCAAGAATTACTAGGAAAGTGGACGGCACTTATTTGTGTAAATGCAGAAAATCATGCTTGCAAAGAATAAACCTACAGGATTCGATGGTGAACAATTAAACCTCTAGATCATTTCATGATTCATACCGATCACAGAGAGCCTTATTTACTTACCTAAGTAATGTGGTGGATGAAATGACATAGGCTTACTAGTCGCTGAGTAATATCCAATTGCTCTCTTAAATCGAATAACTTTGTCATCTGTTCTAGACTGAAACAGATGTAGGAAAACCTTAGTTATGTCACTGGTCATGTGTATGATGAACATATTTTTTATAATTCACCACATGTATAATTCTCATGTAGCCTGTTGAGCTACATGAGAATATACAATGGCATTAAACCTTAATGTCATTGTAAGGTTAACCTTAGTGAAGGTTAAACCTTAAACCTTAGGGAAAAAAATCAAGAAATTACTACTTAAAATTCAAACCAAAATTAACTCTTAAAGCAACGTAGTTTGAAAGCAAAATTCTAAACTGGCAGCAGAGGTGGACTCTAGCTCTGACTTCTCTTGACTTTCCCTCTGCTCTGTCTCTGACCTCCCAAGGGGTTCGATCAGTCACCTGAAACAGGTGGAATGGACTGTAGCACAGATTGGGGATATGGCTGGCCAGGGTTTCGGCTCTCTAGAGTCAGGGCAGGAGTGCCCCCAAACTTCACCTAGTCTGTTAAAGCTTATTTGTTTACATGCCTTAATGGCTAAAAAAGAAAATCCCTTCATTACTTGAAGGGTACAGAAAATCAGAAATCCACAGTACCATGTGACCAATTTGATGCAGTTTATCTTGTGAAAACTCTGGAACACAGGTCTTATTAACATAGAGAACTTAGGAGCAGCAAAGACTCAGCAGTTATCTAAATTAATTCCTCTCCTGGTTAGGCTGGAAATGAGAATGGACAAGTGAGAAATGGCTGTGTCCACTCAGCCACCACAGGACATGCCAGGACAACCTCATCCTTTGGCCCTGCAAGTGCTCCCAGCACACCCAGTCAGCTTGTACCTCCTAACCTGGCCACACTGCCATGAAAGTCCTATGCTGTGAATCTGTGTGCTTACCTGTGAATGTTGGAAAACATCTTTAGCTATGGCATCCAGATCAGAGGTGTCCTGAATATTGCGAACATAGTCAGCTACAGCTTTGATCACTACATCGCAGGGTGGCAAGACCAACTGGTGGGCCCGGACCTGGGAAAACAAACGTAGGTATCAGTAGCAGGCATGGGCCCCAGAAACTCCAACACAGTGTGCCTGCTAGAATCCCCTCAAGGCCTGCTTACCACCCATGTGGGAGATCCTGTCCCTACAGCTTCCCTAAGTGTTATAGGTTCTTCAGCCCAAGAACTGGTTTTTCCTTCAGGTAATGAAGTACAACTCAACTGCTCAAACCCTGTTAGGTTAAAAGAGCACTGACAGCCTTTCCTCACTCCAGAGAGCTGAGAACAGGCTCCAAACCCCACAGCAAACTATGCACGAAGCAGCCCACAAGAAGCCATAGAGCCAACATTAGCTTCCTTTCTTCCCACATCAACAGACAAGAATACTACTCATGTGATCTTTGGACCTGAGCTCAGGACTCACTGAAACTGCAAGGATAAATGCAGTTACCAAGTGCCTGAATCCACCTTAAAAGGCCAAATTCAGCTTTGAACTGGACAACAATGATTCCATTACCCATTGAGGGAAAGAAAGGCAAAGAACATGGAATAAAATGTTGTAATATCTCATTATCCAAGAATAGTTTCTAACAAAAAAGGTAAATTAACAGATTAAAAAGGGCAAAGCCATCTAAGGGCTAGCAGAGTAACAGCATCCCACCACTGTCCATATCCTGCTCTCCAGAGTCCATAAATATGGTGTTATGGGACAAGATGGAATTAAGATTGCCAGTCAGCTGATCTGAAGTGTGGAAAAGGATGCAAGCAGTTAATGTCAGAGTGAGACAGCTTTTAAAAAAAGGATATGGCCCGCTATTGCTGCCTTTGCCAATGGAGGAGGGGGCCACAAGCTTGGGAATGTGGGCAGCTGCTAAAAGCTGGAAAAGGTCAGGAAACATTGTCTCTGGAGATTTCACAAGGAACCAGAGACTGCTGACACCTTGATTTTAGCCCAGTGACACCCATTTTGGACTTCTAGTCTCTAACACTGAGATGATAATTGTATTGTTTTAAACCACAGAAAGAAAGGAAGGGGAGAGGAGAGACGAAGGAAGGAACAGAGGAGAGAGAGAATGAGTAAAGTTCAACCTAAGCAAATAGAATGAAAAATACATAAACTTTGAAGATATTATCATGCAAATTTCCAGATGCACATACTACATTAAATTTCGTTTTTATTAGAAATAAGGGCAAAATAGTTTCTACTGGGTATTGGGGGGGGGAGAGGGAGGGGGCAGAATGGTGGTAAGGGAGGGGGTGGGGGAAGGGGGGAGAAATGACCCAAGACTTGTATGCACGTATGAATTAAAAAAAAAATTTCGTTTTTAAAAGAGCAGTGGTTTTTCTCTTAGAATATGCTTTCCCCTGTTTGAATAATTTCTCTTCACCTTCTTTTGTTTGAGCTATTAGACTTTGATGAAGGGAAAACAGAATCACAGGGCCTCAAGGGCACTGTTGACATGTTTGTGGATGCAGACCATCTGCACATTCCTAGAAACCCAATGCCCCACTGCAGAAAAAAGCTATGGCTGCACACAGATACACAGGCAGAAGTGCACTTGGACTGGCTTATGTGAAAATACCCATGCCCTGCCTTATGAGGGCTACTTCACCAATACCACAGTAAGGGATGGAAGGGCCACTGAGGCAGTCTGACAGGAAGGGCAGGACTGCAATCCTGAACTATTACTCTCATGCTCCTGCTGGAAGATATTTGGGCACCTTGGTCACAATGAGTGCCCCACCAGGAGGGACAGGGCACCTGTAGCCAGGCATAATCTACCTGAATTTGCAACCAGCTGGCCACTCAAATCTCTTACACTCCACAAACCAAAGACTACCTCTTTATGCTGCATACAGTATCTGAAATGCTGGTCACTTTGGATAGGTTTATATACAAAACAAGTAAGTGACAGTTAACATGGCAAAAACAGAAGTGACTGTATATAAAAAAAATGACCAAAATATGGAAAGGGCTTTCCCCAGGAGAAGGGTGCAGGCCTGCTCACACCTGTGACATCATGAGTGATGAGGCAGCCCTGTCTTAACTCCACCCCATTTCACAGTGGAAGGGACAAAACCTGCTGTTCTTGCTCCTGCGGATATCTTTGCCATGGCTCCCCACTTAAGACACTGCTGCTGGAAGATCCTTAAGATCCTTCACATAATCAAATTCTGTAATTTAAGTGTCCCCAAATAATACCAAAGACACAAGCTCTGCTTCTCACTACAGAAGCACCCTTCTGACAGCTAACGTGCCGACTGTGTGGCTGCGCTTCACAGTCCTCTGTGATGGCTTCACGGTCAACCACAAGCCTTTGCAGCTAGTGCTGGCTGGTTTTCCAAATCTAGTCTTCTAAATCCAGCTCTGACGAGCTCTCTAGAGTCTCTATGTGAAGGATGGTTCTGAGGGCCTGTTCGCAATGTAGTCCCCCAAGTCCTGCCTCTAGCCAAGTGGCCTGGAGACAGAAAAATGCAATGCAATGTGGACACATGGAAAATCTTTACTGTACCCAAGAAATTAACAGTACATAAAATAATTTCTAGTATGTATGATATGGTGTGATATCAAAACATGTAATCTATTTCAAAAGGATTTACCACAGATTCCCTTGTACATTCAAAGATAAACATGTATGTTATATAACATGTGGATTGAAGGTTATCTATCACAGTTTCAACCAAAAAAAAAAAAAAAAACAAAAACACATCAAGACCTATTACCCACAAAAATGGCATCAGATGTGGCTAAATCTTCCCAAAAATGCTAAAATGCAGATAGTTCATCATCATAGCACTAACCACATGGGTTGCTGTCCTTACCTAGCCATAAAAATAACATTCACACTCAAACAAGTCAGTCAGTGTTTGCTGCCTAGACAAAGGCTACAAAATATTGTAACCAAAGTTCTATTTCCTCCTCTTTTTTATTCTACAGGTTTTTTTAAGCTGAAAATTTTAACATTAGGAAAACAACAAAAGTCAAACAAATTGAACAGATCCAGTTAGAAGCAAATATACAAAGTCTATCTCTAAAAACAGAAGGTATATCGTGCTTCATTAAAATGCAAATGTTTAGACAGGCACCAGTCTGGCTAACACCTGTAATTCTAGCTACTTGGGAGGCTGAGATCTGGAGGATCAAGGTTCCAAGCCAGGCCAACCTAGGCAAATAGTTTAAGAGACCCCATCTCCAAAATAACCAGCGCAAAATGGACTGAAGGTGTGGCTCAAGCAGCAGATTGCCTGCTTTGCAAGTGTAAAGCCCTGAGGTCAAACTCCAGTACCACAAAAAACCAAAACAAAACAAAAACCCACAACAAATTGCCTTTTTCATTTCACTATGAAGAACTTTAACTGCAAGGTACTGCAAAGGAAAAAGGAAAGGAAAGGCCCTTGAAGTAAGCACCTCTGCAGGGGCCATGGTATATGAGGTTTTGGTCCCACCTCCAAGGAGTTGAGTGCCTCCAGGGCTGCGTTAGGACAAGTGGCAGTATTCTCACTGACAGATGCAGAGATGTCTGCAGGGTGGTGGTGAGCACAGGATGGCACCACACTACAAGGAGGACCCTGGCAAACCAGTCATGTGTGGTCTCAACAAGGACTTGGATGGAAGCCCTGTCTATAGCCACTTGCTGGCCACCACTCACAGAGAACTTTGATTCTGAAAAGCCACCGATTTCAGTCAGTTATTTCAGCCCCTCCAGGGGCATATTTAGGAAGCTAAGAAGCAATACACTGACAACGACTGAAACCCAAAGACAAGAGTCTCTTCCAGGTTATGAAAGCAAAATAAGAACTGGCCCCAGCTACAAAAGCATTTATTTATTTGCTGTTTTTAAATTCGGCAGTCTTGGTTATATATTTTTTTAAAAAGAAAGTCAAAGGTTTTACTACAGCTATGAATTTGTTCTAATGAAGCCACCAAACAACATTCCAACTGTTCAACTACATATCATAGTATTCAAAGGGTTTGATTAAATCCAAGATGTTTTTTTGTAAGACTGTTGATAAAGAGAAAACTCTTTCAAAGCTTTCTAAAACTGATCATCAGAAAGGCTCATTTCTCAGAGTTTTAACTTTCACACAGCAGAAATACAATGCTTCTGTCTGTGCAAGGGCAAGATGGCAGATCCCTCTTCAGAAAGGAAGGTCCTCCCCAAAGGACCAGTCTCGGGTTATCTTGTTTCCACTGCACACGTGAATTATAAGGGAGCTTCCTCCCACAAAAACTTGGGGAAAATCCAGATACTGTATTTTGATATGTCAGGCATTAACAATGAAATTTTGTTTTAACTGGGAAGTTCCTTCCTGAGGTCAAATCAATGCACCCATACTCCAGTTTTGTACAGATACCTACCTCAATTGGAAGTGGTCACACAGCTGATTCAGATCAGTTTGTTTTATAAGACAATGAAAATAAATAGGTGTTGTACGTATTTCTATGTTGGATAATACTCCCCTCATTTTCCTTTTTTTTGGAGACAGGGTCTCACTATGTAGCCCAAGATGTTTAGAAAATGTAACAAAGTTAGAAACCCAAGTACTAAAAGAATGAAGAAAAACTAAAAATAAACAGTCAAACAGATGTATGTTTGTTTTGCTTGAGTAAGACCAGTTATGTATCAATTCTCTTGCTGCTTTAAGTGTGCTTTTGGAAATTTTAAACCATGCTATTAGAGATGTATAGTATCTATATTTTCAAGTTTTACATGAGGTACTTGCATTTTACAAGAAGCTGCAGTATTACCACTTGGATTAGTCTGAATGCTTTTAGGCCCTTTCCCTCGCCAGCCCCAGGCCACCTCTGCTCTGATTTCTATCACTAGAGTTTTATTTAAGCACAAACATGTATCTTTCCTTTGGGTGTGACTTTTCACTTAAGCTAATATTGTTTGGATTCATGCAACTGCAAAACCAAATGCTCCCTTCATTGCTACTTAATGCATTCATCTACCAGATGCTATCTCCAGGCTGAGGTTGTAATGAATGAAGCTGCTATGAATATTCAGAAACAACTTCCATTTGAAC